ATCACCATGCCTATTCACAGAGCATATCTTTCATTCTTACGCTGACCAAACTATCACTGCTCTGAATGCAACCTTGCGAATCTGAGATAAGCATATTAATGAATACAGTCAGAATGATTACGCAGCGGTGCACGACACACAGTCAAAGCAGACCTCGTACAAGCTGCTGAAATCAGATGTTCACCTTTAATTAAATAGGCTAACATATGCCAGCTGTTTGCACCAAATACTCCTTTCAAACTCTGTCTCATAACTACAACAGACAGGGAGAGGAGCAACAGGTGTGTGTCCACTCACAGCCCTGGCCACTCAACCTGTAGGACCCATGAAAGGGAGTTTATCCGTTATCGCTCAGAAGGGCCAGGATAAGCGCTTGTGAAAAGTGTTCTGGTGTGAATCAGGAGAGAAATCTGCACAGATCAAGCAGCGTTTAAGCAGCTCTAAACTAATATGTGGCTGGATTTTGATGTAAGAAACAACAGGAGACGTACTTTTTCACTGGAAGAAGTGTTATTATGAATTATGGACTCAATATATTAGTTAAAAATGTCGTAATGCTGGATTAGTTTCAGCTTTTGTCTTCTCCAGATGTTCACTGATGGACTGGAGTGCGGTGGATTACTTGTGGATTATTGTGATGTTTTTATCAGCTGTTTGGACTCTCATTCTGACGGCACCCATTCACTGCAGAGCATCCATTGCTGAGACACTGATGCATACAAACCTGATGAAGAAACAAACTCATCTACAGCTTGGATGGCGAATATAATTTTTTTGGGTGAATTATTCCTTTAATTAACATCATGTTTCGAGGCGTGTAGAAGCACATTTATTCTCAGAATATTCACATAATAAAATCCCAAGATGAAAATGACAATTAGGTGTGTATTCATGAATGATGATGCAGAAATTTTAACTTTATTCATTTATAGGAAACATTTATTTCCTCGATCTTGTGTGCTCTGCATCTCCTCTGCACCACACCAGCTATTAAAATATACAATACTAGAATACTGAATTCTATAATCAATGCAATGAATTATTATAACAGAATCAATGCATCAATGTATTTTACACCCCTACTATCCACTATTAAACAGCATATTGATAAATCGTGCATTGCAGCATTGCTAAAACTGAATGTGGATTGCAATGCTCAGATTCTGATGTGCTGAGGTCACAATCACAGACGTCTCAGCGCTCTGACCAAGCAAAAATAGGCTTCAAAAACAGGAACTGCTCCCTTCCCATAAGACAACTTCCTCCATTCCGGAGTTCACGCGTACCAGAGCCTGCCTGGAGTGGAGTAAAGGTCAGTCAAAGAGTCCGCACACCATCAACAAACACAGCAACGGTTTAGCATCGCCAACAGCAGCATCAATGGTTCCACATTCACTTCCACAGTTAGGACAGACTAACAGGGAACCGTACACACGACCCAAACCCCAGACCCCAGAGACTCTCTAACAAAACTCTCTGTCGGCACCAAATGCTTTAATGTCAAAGCAAGCTCTTGAGGGCCTAGTTAGCAACAATTTTAAGATTGCCTGATAAGAGGTCAACTCCACAGGACCCCCGGCCAATATGCAAATTTACGAACCAGACTGCAATTTCATAATGCCAATTTATTTCAACTCGTGTCATTTGTTTCAAGCTTGAGTATTTCACAGATCATGAAGAAAGTCACACCACATGAAAAAAATACACATTACACATTTTGCAAGTGGTTTAAAATAATAAAAAAGGTAAAAAAAAAAACTCAACATGGTCCATGGAGATGAACACATCAAAGAAAAGAAAAATGGCATGTCGTCATGTCAGCTGCACATATATCTACGCTAGAATGACTCGAGTCGTACTTTGCTCAACAAAATCCGTTGCACACAGAACGGGCTGGAGCTGGCTTTCATCAGGCACATATGGTGACCCGGCGCAGTTTAATGAAGGAGAGGAGAGAGAAGACAAATCAATACTCATCCAGGATAAACAGCACACTGAAGGGGGATTACATCAACCCTCGAGGAGCGGCCAAAACGCATCCTTTCCTCGACGAAACATGGCCAACTGACAACGAGCATTAGCACGGTCCTGTGAGCGCACTTCACCGATGGCTCGAGATCTGATGAAACTCTCACTTAATATATCTAGCTAGATAAACTGAGTGCTGTGAATATACTATGCATTGTGCATCAGATGCCAAGAAAGCCAGCATGAACAGATGACACCCAATAAACCTTGTCCAACAAATACAGTGTTCTTTCCATCATGTCTTTTGAGCTCAAAAAGCCTGGAGCAACAGAATGTAATTACAAACAGTTAAAGCAGAACAAACACATGAACCACTCACAGGCCCTGTGTTTCAGAGCGCTTCGCATCATCCTCGCTGTTCTCCTCGCTCTCAGCCGTCCGCAGCTGTTTGTTTTGGGGTGAAGTTTGCTCTGATTGGGAACTCAGAGGCTCAATCGCTCGCTGGCAGCAGATTCTAGAGCAGAACAAACACGACAGGCACATTTCCTTGCACGGCTCTCCACTGCTGAAATACAGGGGTATTATTGAACGCTGCTCTTCTGCATCTACACAGCTTTAAAAAAATGGTCGCATTTCCTAAAATAGTGAAAAAACATTTGTTGACTTTAGGCTGGAGTACTTTTGGAAACAGGATAAGGTAAAGGTTTCATTAAAACATTTTATTCAAATTTTTGCAAAAGAATGTAAACCAACAATTACAGAGCAGTGCAGATGTGATTTTTTTTTTTATTAAGCCAGCATAAGAGACAAGTGTGTAAAATCAGAAGTTTATACCTGCAGCATGAACTATTTTCAGTGTTTCAAAACATAAATAAATACAAATTAAAAGTTGCACTCTTCTCGGTGTGTGTATTTAAATCTCAGTGACGTGAACAAAGGGTCAGATTAGGACGGCACGTGCAGCTCCATCATCATCTCATTATAATCTACTCATCATATTGATAATGAGATAAGAATGACAGCAACAAGACCGGATACATCAATATCATAAAGCCCTGCAATTTCTGAGCGGATTCTTTTACCAGAGTCTACAGTCCCTTGATCATGACGAATGAACAAAAACATGTCCAGAAATACTAATTATACGTAGAAATTAATTAAGCTATTTTTAAATCCATTGTAATTTTAGCATTATGACATGGTTTTAACACCAGTTAAGCATATTTGCCCAAATTCTCATTATCGTAACTCATCCAGATGTTTTACTAGACGTTCAGTTCTTGTTATTCTCAGTGTTTGAGACATTTTTACTGAACTGCAGTAATGATTTTCATTTAAATCTGCTTAAATTGATCAATGTAAAATACTAAAGCATTTAAACATTTACATTTTTTTTCACATTACAGCCATGAGAATTAGATTAGATGGGGTGCTTATGAGTTCACAACCATTTCTACATTCTTTGGGGGTGGAAAACATGCACAAAATCTTGAGATATAACCTAGAAATTATAATATGAACAACCCAAAGACAGATGCTACATGCTAGCAAGTACACATAAACTAACAGGCCTGTAATCTCATCAGTAGGCCTCTGTTCAGTTGTCTTCGTTACCTGTTGATAGGTTTGTGTTGCGATGCTCCACGTGTCAGAACAATCAAAAACCCATGACGCCCTGGGGACATCTCACAACACAATGGATGGCACCGATCCAAAAAAGCCCATCCCACACGCCCCGTCACCTACAGGATGAGCCGTCTCACTTCGAGAAACAAGTGAAAGCAGACAAAGAGAGAAAGTGGGCATCATCGCTGGACGTCTGTGGCTGTCCCAGGTCATGCTGGAGTGGTGGCACGGGGCCGGGCAGTGTGTCAGACACTGCAGGCAATAATGCTGAGCCAATCAGAATTACAGACAGAGACCGCTTACCAGGAACCCATGTGCTGCTACAGGATGCAGCCAGTGTTTAGTCCTCCGTGTGCCTTATCAGCACAGATTATCCCACACGGGACAGGGAAGAGGCTACTGAGACTTTGGCTGATCACTCACACACATAAACAGATGTTTGTTGATGTAATAACTACTTCCATGTCCACTGCACTGCACAAGCCCTTTAAAGTCAGCAGAGAGGACACCTCACATGAGGAAAGAGCTGAACACATCTGTCATTCTCGGGTTGATGTGAGACAGATGCTTGTGTGAACAAACACCTGCTGCTGTTTCCATCTTCATCCTGGGGCCAATGTTCAACTCCAGACGTGCTGGAAGAGTCACTCGTGTATTCATAGCCTGTGCTAATAAATCTACGCGCAGCTGCATTAGGCGGGATCGCAATATAAACACACGCATCCACGTGAGCCGAGCCGTAGCAGAGCCACCAATGATGAATGGAAGCTGAAGACAGCTTCAAGCCCAGAGAGGAAAAGAAGAGAAACTGCCCTAGAGTTGAAGCTCGCTAAATATCACATTGAAAAGAAGTTAAACCAAAAATGTAAATATGCTCACCCTCAGGCCATCCCAGGTATAGATGAGTAGAAATGCAGCATTGCATCATTGTCTCAGCAATGGATGCTCTGCAGTGAATGGGTGCCGTCAGAATGAGAGTTCAAACAGCTGATAAAAACATCACAATAATCCACAGCACTCCAGTCCATCAGTTAACATCTGGAGAAGACAAAAGCTGAAACTAATCCAGCATAAAGAGATTTTTAACTAAAATACGAGACCATAATCCATAATAAATGTGGGTGGAGACCACAGGAGATGGACTTTTTCACTGGAGGAAGCGTTATTATGGATTATTTTAGTTACAAACTTCTTGATGGATTAGTTTCAGCTTTTGTCTTCTCCAGATTTTAACAGATGGACTGGAGTGGTGTGGATTATTGTGATGTTTTTATCAGCTGTTTGGGCTCTCATTCTGACGGCACCCATTCACTGCAGAGCATCCATTGCTGAGACACTGATGCAATGTTGCATTTCTCCAAATCTGATGAAGAAACAAACTCATCTACAGCTTGGATGGCCTGAGTGTAAGTGTTATGAAACAGAAGGACACAGGACAGGGACTGATACAGATGGGATGTTTATTGACAATATGGAGGCAGGCAGATAAACGAATGAGTAAAGCAGACTTAGCTGAGACACTGTTGAGTAGTGACAGCCAGGTAAGAGTCCACAATGGTGAATGCTCAACAGGAAGATGACGGATCGAGGAGGGTAAGTAGTGCAGGAAGGTAGCCAGGTTCATTACATAAGGTAACAACAAGAACAGACAAATGAGAAGTGCAAAGTGAGGGTTTATAAAGGGTGGCTTGATTGGTGAAGGCAGGTGCAGTGAATCTGAACTCCGGGGATTGTGAACAAGTGGGTGGAGCTGCAGGTTCTGGCGTGACTGGTGATTATGTGACAGTATCCCCCCGCCCATGGGCAGCTCCAGTAGTGACAAGGACAGCCTCTGCCTTTGGGAGCGTGACGATCTGTATGAAGGTCCATTACATATCATTACAATCCAGGATCTTTCCTCAAGGCTGTAACCTTCCCAGTCCACCAGATATTCCAAACAGCCACCTCATCGCCGAGAGTCCAAGATGGTGTTGACACAGTAGACGAGTTGTTTGTTGTCGATCTCTGGAGGAGGAGGTCCATCAGGTTCGCCAGATCCTGAGGAGGGAGAGACAAGAGGATTAGTGAATGGCTTAAGGAGTGAGACATGAAATATTGGATAGATGCGGTAGTGTGCTGGGAGAGTTGATAAGTCACATCATTGATCTGCCTCCGGATGGGTAAATGGACCTATGCAGCGGGGACTCAGTTTGCGACAAAGTAGTCGAAGACAAATGTCCCTGGTAGAGAGCCAGACCTTCTGTCCCGGTTTGGTAGCGCTGGAATGGTGAGTATTGGCCTGGCTCTTCTGTCTCCGAACGGCCTGTTGCAGGTGAACATGAGCTGAGTCCCAACCCCTCACGCTCTCCTGGAACCAGAGGTTCACAGCTGTAACATCTGATGGCTCACCAGACCAGGGAAACAGGTGTTGCTGGAAGCAGAGTATGCACTGGGTACAGGATAAGTCCCGTGGTGTTCTGTCATAGGGAGCTGATGGAGACTCCCAGTAGCTGGAAGAAAGCTTGCCGCACCTGAGAGATGAACTGGGGTCCGCGATCTGAGATTAAATCCTCGGGTAGCCCGAAATTTTGGAACAAATGTTGGAACAGAAGTTCTGCGGTTTCCAGTGTGGTGGGTAGTCCTTTTAGAGGATGAGTTTGCAGGCTTTAGATAACTGGTCCACGGCTACCAGGATGCAGGTGTGCAAGTGCGAGGTAGGTAGGTCCGTTGCAAAGTCCACTTCGAGGTGAGACTAGAGTCAACATGGAATGGGTAGAGGAACCAGCTTTTCTTCAGGGAGACGACAAGGAGTCTTGGACATGGCACAGACGGAGCAGCTCTTCACATACCGGGAGACATCCTGGGTCATATTGGGCCACCAATAGTGGTTTTGGAGGAGCGAGAGGGTTTGCAGGCTGCCTAGGTCCCCAAAGAGCTTGGAAAGGTGTAAACTGACTCCAGAAGTGTGAGCCGCAGAGATGTAGGTACATAGACCTTCCCTTCTGGACCTCCCGGCCTGGCTTGGAGGGGGCTTACGATCATGGCTGGAGGGAGGATAGGTTCAGGAGGCGAGTTGTTTTGATCAGAGTGATGGATGCGGGAGAGTGCATCTGCCTTTTGGTTCTTGAATCCTGGTCGGTAAGTGACAATGAAGTTGAATCGAGTGAAGAACAGAGCCCAGCAGGCCTGTCTGGGGTTAAGCCGCTTAGCATCACGGAGGTATTCTAAATTGCGGTGATCGATAATGACTTTGAACAGATGCCTTGCTCCCTCCAGCCAATGATGCCATCCTTCCGAAGCTAGTTTAAATTACCAGGAGTTCACGTTTGCCAATGTCGTAATTCTGCTCCGCTGGGGACGGTTTCTTGGAGTAGAAGGTGCAAGGATGGAGGACGGGAGGCTCTCCTTGCCGCTGAGAAAGCACTGATCCTACCCCGACCATAGAGGCATCGACTTCAACGACCAAGAGAAGATCTGGATCAGTCAGGGTAGGAGCGGTGCATAAAGCTTTCTTAAGCTGATGAAAAGCTTGGATGGCGGCAGGTGTCCGGGATGGAGACTTGGGCTTATCTTTCAGGAGGGCGGTGATCGGAGCACAGATTTGGCTGAAGTTTGCAATGAACTGATGATAGAAACTGGCAAATTATAGGAACCTTTGGGTTCTTTGATGGAGGTAGGTTGAGGCCAGACCTTAACAGCTTGCACTTTTCTCTGGTCTACATGGATGCAATTATGGTCGATGACATACCCAAGGAACTGGATCTTGTCTTTGTGGAACTCGCATTTATCCAACTTGAAGTAAAGGCGTTGTTCCTTCAGTTTCTGGAGGACCTGCTTCATGTGGTGGCGATGTTCAGCCAGGTTCCGGGAGTAGATGAGTATATCATTGATGTACACCCGTGTTTCTCAACCCTGGGGGCGCCCCCCCAACACTGCACATTTTGTATGTCTCCCTAATCTGACACACCCATTTCAGGTCCTGCAGTTTCTTTTAAGGAGCTAATGAGTTGAATCAGGTGTGTTTGATTAGGGAGACACACAAAATGTGCAGTGCTGGGGGGTGCCCAGGACCAGGGTTGAGAAACACTGATGTACACGATCACAAAGTGATGGAGGAACTCCAAGATACAGGCTCCGCACAGCTGCTCTAGGGCTGCAGGGACCAGAGGAAGAGGGTAACAGTATTTAATGGTTTGTGAGTTCAGAACACAGTAATCAACGCAAGGCCGCAAGCCTCCATCCTTTTTTCTGATGAAGAAGAAGCTGGAAGCTGCTGGAGAAGTGGATGGGTGGATAATTTTATTTGAGAGCCTCCTCAATATATTCCCCCATGGCCTTCTGTTCTAGGATGGACAGTGGGAAGATCTTTCCCTTGGGTAGACTAGGCCCAGGCAGCAGGTCAATGGCACAGTCCCATGACCGGTGTGGTGGTAGCTGGGTGGCTGCCTGCTTGCTTGCTAAATCTGTGGTTTCTGGACTCTCAATTATGCTGGATGTAAGGTCTACAGGCCTGCAGGAAGTGGATAGGTGAGGTCTTGATGGAGATCCGGAATATTTCATAATAGGTGAAAGACAGGATGATGTTGAAAGGCGATTATGAGTGAGGTATCATTCCACTCGCTGGTGTCCGCCAGAGTGCGGAATTGGAGAGCATATTCTCTCCCAGATGAACTACCTTGGCAAAGCCGAAAGAGTTGGTTCTGCACAGACAGGGTGGATGCTGTTTGGCCGAAAACCTCCTTGAAATGGGTAATGAACACTATGAGAGAAGTGGTTACTGGACCATTGGCATTCCATATGGCTCTTGCTCATTGAAGGGTGTGTCCCGACAGGAGCGAGATGATGTTGAAGGAGAGGGGAGAGGTAGGAGTGACTGATGAAGTGTTTCCACGAGTTCAGCAAAGTGATCCGGGTTGGGGTTGGCAGACGGTTCTATTTGTCATTGCATTATTGGTCTAGTCTTCTATTATGAAACAGAAGGACACAGGACAGGGACTGATACAGATGGGATGTTTATTGACAATATGGAGGCAAGCAGATAAATGGATGAGTAAAGCAGACTTAGCTGAAACACCGGTGAGTAGTGACAAGCAGGTAAGAGTCCACAATGGTGAATGCTCAACAGGAAGATGAAGGATCGAGGAAGGTAAGTAGAACAGGTAGGTAGTCAGTTTGTTGCGCAAGGTAACAACAAGACCAAACAAATGAGAAGTGCACAGTGAGGGTTTATAAAGGGTGGCTTGATTGGTGTAGGCAGGTGCGGTGTATCAGAACTCTGGGGATTGTGAACAAGTGGGTGGAGCTGCAGGATCTGCCGTGTCTGGTGACTCCATGACAATAAGGGCATTTTCATTTTTGGGTGAACTATTCCTTTAATCGGGTCTGTGCATTGAAAACGTCCACTATAGGCCTCAAATTACAGCAGTAATTAACACATTTCTATCAACAAATCACATCCAAAACCTAATAGCTGAGGTCACGGAGTTAACTGCTGCAGGAAATGCCACCCTCTACACAGTGAGTAAACTTTTTTCCTGTCAAAATAATGGAGTTCATTTGGAATTATTCAACGTTTAAGAACAAGTAAAAGCCACCGTTCCTTGAGTAGTGGGTGGAGCTAATGCACAAGCAACAGTCTGATTAGCTAGCGCTCATCTATTACGTCCCATTTTGATTTCAGCAAATCAGTTTGAGCAAACACAGACAGTGTGATTAATATTCATTAACCCAGCAGCTCATCAGACCTTAGAACATTGTACCGTTATTAGCAGAAGCATTATCAGAATGACTTTTGTCTCAAGCACCACCACCATACAAGTCTGCTATGCTTTAGTTCTAATTACTAAAGTTCTATCATAAAAAAACGTGATTGACTGATGTTTTGTTCAAAAAGATTAGGTATGCTTTTTTTTTTTTTATTTCCATTTTGCATAAAGGCTCTTCTTGACAGAAAGCAAGTCTCTGTTAAACTTTACTGACTTCACTGAATGAACGGCAGCACACGCGCACATGTGTCAGACAGACAGAGCGCAATTCATGCTTAGTGCAAAAATTTTGCTGAAATATTTGTTATTGGTTGTTAAATTTAGGTTTAAAATTCGACATGCAATGCAAGTAATTGAGAAATAACTAAAAAGGGATAACAACATGCAATTGGTAAAAAAAAATGTCTAGGCCTATACTAATTACTAAAGTTCTATCATAAAAAAACGTGATTGACTGATGTTTTGTTCAAAAAGATTAGGTATGCTTTTTTTTTTTTTATTTCCATTTTGCATAAAGGCTCTTCTTGACAGAAAGCAAGTCTCTGTTAAACTTTACTGACTTCACTGAATGAACGGCAGCACACGCGCACATGTGTCAGACAGACAGAGCGCAATTCATGCTTAGTGCAAAAATATTCATTTTGCTGAAATATTTGTTATTGGTTGTTAAATTTAGGTTTAAAATTCGACATGCAATGCAAGTAATTGAGAAATAACTAAAAAGGGATAACAACATGCAATTGGTAAAAAAAAATGTCTAGGCCTATAGCAAATAAAGAAATTATAGTACAAAAGTTACAGTGTTCTGAAGAGTGAATGTATTTGTTCCTGCAGAATATGGCTGGGTGATATGGGCAAAAATTCATACCTCTGTATTTTTTGGCCGATTTGCGATATACGGTATATATCTCTGTATTTTCTTTTTTGTATTTGTATTTAAAAAAAATGTATTTAATATATAAATATTTCACTTACCGCCCAATGTTGTCCAACAAAACAATACATATTAAAGGCTATGAAAACAAATAAAGTGAATGTAACCATATAAGCCTTTATATTGTGTGCAAAAAAGGGTTAAAATCACATTTCATTTTAACAATGCAATCTAAAAACAAAAGTAAGGCTTTTAAAGCACAAGTTAAATTCACTAAACTAAAAGTGAAAATAAATAAGAACAAAAGCACAGAGTTGTGTTAGGCTATTTTGATTACCCCATCACAGTCACTTTACAGTCACTTTACAGTCAGTGCTATCATAAAAATAGACTTACTTGTAGGTTTAAAATTCTACATG